TTCATTTTTATTTACAAAAAAAATATGTTTAATAGGAATTTTTTGTAGAAAAATACGGGAAAATGAAATTGTTCTTTTTATACTTGGACTATCGCCAAACAAATTAAGCATAGACATTTTGAGATCATATCTACTGTATGAACAAATTATAATACTCTTAGTAATTATATCATAAAAGTGATTAAAAACAAAACAAATGAGTTATCAATGTTAAATGCCGATTAAAATAATAATTATTGCTTTCTATTTATTGTAGTTTTTAAACTGTCTAGAGTCTAGATTGTTAGTCTATACTCCAGTTCTACTATTCTCGTAAGCATTTGTCGGCCATTGTATGGTTAACAAATCTCAACCAAGTCAACCACATAATGGTGACAGTTTCGTTAAATTTTATATAATTGGCGAAGTGAGAAAAATCGCAACTGTTGTCTCGACGGCGCGCGGCGGGAAGATGACAGTCTCGATATGAAACATGAACAGMACTCAGCAGTGAACAATTTAATTTAATGACTTAAACATGTTTATGCAATACAAACTAAAAGCCATCAAATAGTGTAGAGTAAAAACACCTTTTATGATATTTATAGAGAATAATATTTCGGGGACATTTTCATTTGAGATTTTGTCGTGTATTATATAAATATTCGTCAACGTTTTGTTATTTTATACAATATGTTTGTATAATGTAGGTCGGGATAGGTTTTAAACTAAGATATTGGGATAGGTCCAAATGGTTTACGCTCACGACCATCGTGCGTGTGAAGCAACGGTGGTACTACGGACTAAGTTTGTTTTGTTTTTAGTAATTATTTTATGTTTTGGATTAATGYGTTTCCGACCAATAAAATTATATGTTCTGTTTGAGTAGGTAGCCACACAATTTTATTCTGCCATACTCCTATAGAATCCGATCTGTAAGATTGTAATCGGCTAATCGTTGAGAATTTAAGGTTTAAACGGTGAAACTATAGTCCTACTTTAATTGTATTCTTTCAATCTGATCTGTAACCGATTAATTTATGGTTTTTTAGGATTGAAAGTCAAAGTTTAGACTCTAAGCAGTAAAGTAGTGATATCGACTTCTTGGGAGCCAAATTGTTAGCGGTTAATTTATAGACTTATGGTAACTCAAGTGTCGATAGGCGTACGTATATCACCGAAAGGCGCGTGTACTACAATTTGTATTATTCTAATGATACAGATCGATAAAAGCACGAAAATATTYTTTAATAACTTACTGTAACTTTTTTAATAGTAAATATATCAAAMAATTCTGAAGAGATTTTCTTCTAAATATTATTCTCCATAAATTGCAGCATAAGTATTTTTACTCTAAAACCACAACGGCATTTCATTTGTTATTCTTGGAAATATTTTTACCAATTAAAATGAGCGATATTTATAACGTCCTTCATAATCACAGAAAATATTGTCTGCCTTATCATATATTAATTTGGTTTTTTAGCTATGACTATATGCTTTAAGTGGTTCTTTTTCACAGGAAACCGTTTTTCTATTTAATTTCGTTATCATGCAACAACCATCGTTAATTCCAATACAAAACCACTTTTGAAATACTTTGAATTAGAATTTAAATATATTTAAGATTTAAAATTGTAACCCCTTAAAAACGGGGTATTGGTGTTTAACTTTAGTGATTAAGTATTAATGWACGGAACGTTAAGTTATAACTTATAAGTATTAATATACTTTTAATAGTTATTGCATAAAGCATTCAACTTAAAATTCTTACAGTTRATGAGGGAATAATAATAAGTTACTCCTAACTCCTAAGTACTTACTCTCCTCATAGGAATTAATATCAAAAAAAAATTTTTTTCAAATTGTTAATTGAGTGATTATGATTATGATTATAATTCTACAACTTTGATTTGTTTAAATAATTAATACTTAAACACTTTGTAAAAAAACCTATTTACTATTCCGAATTATTCCACAGGGTATTAGTTTCGGCATTTACAATAATATGTTATCATTTGATTGTAGGTACATTTTGTACCTATAAGAAAGAAAAACGTAGGTGATTTTCATTTATACGTATATTGACAAATATATGATTTCTATAATTTTGAGTTATGATGTAGTACATCAGATGTACCTWCCTAAATACCTAGCAAATAAGTAATATCTAAAAGATTCGTACGGAACTGACTTATTATTCCTCAATAGTGAAGGGTTTCAAGATAGGCATGAACTATGAAGCGGATTTCTGGATYAGTAAAATAGTTGTTCAATTATAATTTAAAACACGAATGACCAAATATGTTTTCCAGTAGGCTGAATTAACTAAACTTATTAAACTCAGTTAATCGGATAGTCGAGTAGAAAACGGAACGGAAAAATGTCGTGAAGTGTACGTCTTTATATTGATTTTTCTAACGTTTTATTGCAGTAATAATTTATTATTAAAAAAGTCAATACAATATAATATTTTATACTATAACATTTTAAACACTTATACTAACATTGAAATATTATTATTTAATTTAAGTAATTAACAAAACTTTATAATTTATAATATGTATTATATACCTATGGTAATAAATATAAGACATAAACAATTCAACATAAAAATGCATAACCTAATGGCTAATTATATATTATCTGTACCATAAAGTTATATAGGTCGTTAGTCTTATGTAGAATTTTTTTAAAAATTAGGTATATGTGTTGGTGCACTTACAAAATAAATACCTAACATAAAACACTTCTAAAAAAAAATTACGGTAGTAAGGAATGTTTTAGATGCGTAAATATTTTTTATCGGTATTTGAAAAACCACTTGCTAATATTTTTTTACGAATTAAAATAATTAAATTTCGTATCAAATATTTTGGAATGACGTTAATTTCTTTAAGTACATACTTATACTATAGTACTTACATTCCAAAAGCAATAATTACCTCTTTAAATGTGATGATTCACAGTAGGTAATGCTACAACAGTAAGTAATTATGCTGAAATGATTTAATAGGTAAATAAAAATAACTCCT